GAAGTTGGACAAGCAAATCTCACACACAGCTGAATGTCCAGCTTGCTGAGGTGCCATATTAAACCGTACATAAAGTGCGGATCCTTATAATAACACACTGTGCCAATAAATCCCTAATCCTTGTCAAGACTGCAGGCTTGCTGTTTGTACCAGTGAAGAGGCTTCAGAAAATGGAACACGGCTGATAAAGCTGTATGATTCATTCCAAGTCACTGACCAACAGTTCTGGCTGTGGTGACTCAAACATTCAATAGTTACTGATGGAACATTCTTGCAAGTTGTGTGTCATTTGTTGAGTCAAAGGACATTTCCTATTAGAATAGGTAGTGAACTGAGTTCGATACAGAATCTCAACCTTTGTACCCATCAAACACACCCAGGACAGGTATAGCATGGGGTTAGATACAGAGTAGAGCTTCCTCTACACTGTCCCCATCAAACGCTCCCAGGACAGGGGCAGCACAGGGTTAGATACAGAGTAAAGCTCCCTCTACACTGTCCCCGTCACACACTCCCAGGACTGGGACAGCACAGGGTTAGAAACAGAGTAAACTTCCCCTACAGTGTCCCCATCAAACGCTCCCAGGACAGGGACAGCACAGGGTTAGATACAGAGTAAAGCTCTCACCATCAGGCCACCATACATCACCTCTTGAAATGAACACTGATGTTGAGTTCTGATTTTCTGACATTCTGTGATTTTTAGTTGATCCTCGTATCAGGAACTGTGCAATTTCATATCTAGTTGCCGTAAAATGTAGAAACTGAGAGACTGGCTGTCTTACCAAGATGAGTATTGGCAGTTTCTTTATGTCCGTCTACAATCAGATTGCATCCTAATCAGCAAAACTCAAAGGGACCCAAACCAAGCCTACACTGTGCTTGATGGTTAACTCTAAAACTCCTACTGACTTTGTAGTGAATCTGTGTTTCTGCGAGGCTCTCCAAGGTCCATATATTGCCTGCCTTGTGTTTGTGAACAGTCAATTCTTTTAAGCACTGAAACATTAATTGCTCTCACCTAAAATGCAGATGAAGACTTCCAGTATTTTGTTTTCATGTCACTCAAAAAGCTCAACATTATAAAGAGCAAAGGAGCTTGATTGCTCAGCACCCTCCCTCCAGTTGTCCAGGATCAGAACTAGAAACAGGAGCAGGTCACTCCACGTCTTCAGCCTGCTCCACCATTCAATGGGACCATGGCTGATCCAATATTCCTCACATCCACTTTCCTGCCCTTTCCCCATAACCCTTGATTCCCCGACTGATCAACAATCTCATCTCTCTCAGCTTTAAATACACACATGGACTCTGCCCCCACTGCTCTCTGTGGCAAGAGTTTCAAACACACACGACTCTGAGGGAAGAAATTCTGCCTCATCTCAGCCTTCACCTGGTGCCCCTTTATTCTGAGACTGTGCCCTCTGGTCCTAGACTCTCCCATGAGGGGAAATATCCTCTCAGCATTTACCCTATTAAGTCCCTCAAGAATCCTGTATGTTTCTGTGAGATCACGTCATTCTTCTAAACTCCAGTCAGTAGAATCTATTTAGCCTTTGCTAAAACAATCCCTCCATACCAGGGACCATCCTAGTGAACTTTCTCTGAACTGCCTCTAAATGAAATGCGACCTTTCCTTAAATAAGGGGACCAAAACTGTTCACCGTGCTCCAGATGTGGTCTCACCAGCACCTTGTATAGTTGCAGTAAGATTTCCCTATTGTTACACTCCAACCCTCTTGAAATAAGGGCCTACATTCCATTAGCTTTGCTGATTACCTGTGTACTAGCTTTCTGTGTTTCATGCACAAGTCCCTTTGTGTTGTAGCTTTCTGCAGTTCTTCTCCATCTCAATAATATTACGTTCTTTTGTTCTCCCTTCCAAAATAAATAACTCCACATTTTCCCACATTATACTGCATTTGCCAACTTTTGACCCACTTACTTAACCTGTCAACATCTCTCTGTAAACTCTTTGTAACCCTCTCACGACCTGCCTTCAACATCGATATTGGCCTCAGCATTGCAATGAATTTTATTACAAATCAACACTTTATTTTCCACAAAGTAGGTACAAAAGTCATAGTACAGAATATACACAGATTGCAAACTAGATTTGGTAGTTCTTAAACAGAGTTTCAGAGCCTGTTTTTTTTTTGCAGGTGGAAGCTGGGAAGGGAGATCTTTGTTTTGAATTGAAAATCACTTCCATGCAAGAATCAGTTCCATTGCAGATCCTTGCCCGGTTATTGTAACTGTATCTGGGTTGTCTTTACCTCCTGCCACAGGCAGACGGTAAGGACATGGTGGGGGAAGACAGGGGCAGACAGTTGGAACTGTTGCCAAACAATCAAGTGGTTCCTTTTGAAAAGGGTTTGCTTGTACATTTGGGCTGAGAACAGGATCAAAGGTTCAGCTGTGAAGCTAACTGCAGTGGAATATCCTGTCAGTGTGCACTGCCAAAACATTAAAAAATCTGACTGTCAACAAGCTAAGTTAGTGGAGAGGTATGAGAACTCCGACAATGAGCAGGATCATGGGCCTTAGGGAGCAGATACACACATAGTCATTGGATAGTGATTGAATGGAGACGTTAAAAAGTCTTCTGCTAATCAGGAAAGTAAATGATGCTCTCATTTAGTTTGTTTGTTCTTTTTTTTGATATTTTTCCTTTTAACGCTCAGCTCTCTGCTAACACCCTCTCCACTATCAGACATTACTCTTCAATTTTAGCAGCTGTAAACTTCTAATGTCAGCCAGTTCCATCAAGCACACTCAGAAACATATGTGGGCACGCGCAAGTGAGTACCACTCGGCACAGATGAGTGGCTGGAGAACCCCCTACGGGGCTGCTTGGCGTTGCACACTGATTACTCTTTGCAGTCCATTCTGTCACGATCCAGAGATCAGCTAGAGACAGCTGGACTCTCCCCCTCTATCCCTCCGAAAGGTGACCACAGTCCAGCCACTCCAAAGCCCAGCTGTCCAGTGGTAGAAAATTCAAACTGGCGCGTTCCCAGCTGCATCAATAACCCAGCCTTCATTTCAATTCCCAGTGCCCCTTTTGAAAACAGCCACCCTCATCACTCGTCCATTTCCATGCACATTCAGAAGGAAGAACAGAACCTGGTCCTTAATGGCGAGTCACATTTTGGATTTCCACACAAAGGAAGACAGTGGAATACATTGCGAGACCTGCTGAGTTTTCCCAGTAATTTCTGCTTTTGTAACTGGAATACAATTTGTCCTCTTGGGCTTTGTAGCTTGGCACTGGATTAAGGGGTTCCCTGGTGAGCCAGTTAACATCTGGTTAATGACTTTGCTGGGGGTGTGAGCTGTGCTGGCAACTTGACCAACTGGATTGAAGCCCACCCTCCACTGCCACAGACCCATCGCCTACTCCCCTCTGCCACACCCCTCTCCTCCGCAATCTCTCCAGGCTCCCAGCTCCTTAAGGGTTGTCTGTCTAATCCATGCAAACTATGACTAAAAGCAATAAGGCAGAGTGTGTTTGTTTTGCGATACTCTAGCTACGGGGTGCCCCGAGCAGTCTCCAGGGCAGCCTGGCCCCTGAAGGTGTAGGGGGTTGAACCCCCATTCTGTTGCTACAGGTGAGACAAGAGGTTCCTGCCTCTCAAACTGTGCTATGGGCAGCCCCCACTCGCTGTTACAGCTTCTCAAATGGGAAGAGGTGCTTCTCGTCTCCTTTCTTCTGTTTCCTGCTCTTCGCCTTCGCCGTCACCTTCACTGCCTCCTCCTGCCGATTCAAAGGCCACGAAGAGGTCATGTCAGTGACTGGGGTAGCATCACTGCGAGCTTTCCCAGCAACTGTGCTGTCTCCCCCCACATCCTGAGCTGAGTCATCCTGAACAAGAAACAGCAAAAAAAAATTGTGTTAAAATATTTGGGTTTATGTTTAGAAGTAAATATAAAGTTGGTTCAAGCTATGCTGAACTTGTATCAAACCTCAATATGGGCGCGCTGACACAGCGGAAGCCCCTCAGTGCTGACCCACTGATGGAGCTATATTCTCTTTGTAACCCTGGATCTGACATCCAGGAAGCCATTTACTTCAGGAGAGGTAGTGAATAAGGAAATATATAAGAGCAGTCTTCTTATGATTGTTCATGTCTCAAGCAATAAGGCAGAGCGTGCAGCCTGCAGTGGTTGAAGAAGGCATCTCACCACCAGCTAATCAAGGGCCACCGCAGATTGACAATAAATGCTGGGCCCAGCCAGCAATGCCCACATCCCATGAATGAATAAATAAAATTTGATGATGGGGTTCAATTCAAACACGAGCGAAGACAGATCTCACTGACAGGCCCCTCAATCTAAGGAACAGGCAACAAGTGAGGTGTTAAGATCACAGAATCTCTACAGTGTGGAAACAGGCCCTTCGTCCTAACAAGTCCACGCTGACCCTCAGAGCATCCCAATCAGACCCATCCCCCTGTAACCCACCTAATCTACACAATCCCTGAACACTACAGGCAATTTAGCATGGCCAATCCACCTTAACCTGCACGTCTTTGGACTGTGGGAGGAAACCAGAGCACCCGGAGGAAACCCACGCAGACACAGGGAGAATGTGTAAACTCCACACAGACAGTCACCCGAGGGTGGAATCGAACCCGGGTCCCTGACGCTGTGAGGCAGCAGTGCTAACCACTGAGCCACGGTGCCACCCCAATTTCTTCATTCTTTATTCATTCACGGGATGAGGGCTCACTGGCCAGGCAGCATTTATTGCCCATCCCGAATTGCCCAGAGGGCAGTTAAAAGCCAACCACATTGCTGTGGGTCTGGAGTCACATGCAGGCCAGACCAGGTAAGGATGGCAGTTTCCTTCCCTAAAGGGCATTCGTGAACCAGATGGGTTTTTTCTGACAATCGACAATAGATTCATAGCCATAATTAGATTCTTAATTCCAGAGTTTTTTATTGAATTCAAATTCCACCATCTGCCATGGCAGGATTCGAACCCAGGTCCCCAGAACATTACCTGGGTCTCTGGATTAACAGTGATAATATCACTAGGCCATCACCTCCCCTCACTGAGAGAGTCCAGAGCTTGGAGCTCAGGCAGCTGAAGGTACAAGCCCCAGTGATGGAGCAGTTGTGATGTGAGGACTCAGGATCTCAATGAGAGGATGCAGAGTTCTCAGGAATGGGGGCCGTGATAGAGGAGGTTACAGAGATTGAGTTGGAGTGGGGGGACCTTGAAGGGATTTGAAAATGATGGTTAATTTGTGACATGATGAGTGGTGAGTGGATAGTGGTTGGGAGAAGCTGGTGACTTCAGGGTCTATGGTTTTAAACACTCTCCACTGGGGTTTTGCTCACCTCATATTGACTCCTCAAAGACCAGAAAATAAGACCTTCAGATGTAGGAGCAGAATTAGGCCATTTGATCCATCGAACCCACCACTTGATCATGTTTCTCAACCCCATTCTCCTGGCTTCTCCCTATAACCTTTTACCAATCAAGAACCTATCCATCTCTGTCTTAAATACACTCAATGGTTTGCCTCCACAGCCCTCTGCGACAATGAGTTCTGGCTGAAGAACTTCCTCCTCATCCCAGTTCAAAGATAGCGATTGATCACTCTGAACAATTTATCTGTTCATTGTCATTGTATTATGTGATTGTCAGGCTGGGAGAAGGTGACCTGAATGACCCTTGGTCTTGTTCCTGTGAATTACCTTGACATTGTACCGAGCTTTCAGCTTTTCCCTGATCAGTAAGCCTTTCACCAACAGCTTCCAGTTTCCCATTACACGCTGCTCTCGTTTCTGCACAGAAAATACAATCAGCAGATTTTAGTCAAACAAAACCGAAAAAGCTTAAAACAATTACAGTTATTTATTGTGGATTGTTTCAATCAAACAGATGTATGATGTCAGTGCTGGATATCAAATCCCTACAGTTCAGAGATGCAAATGATCACAAAACAATCAGATACAGAGTAAAGCTTCATCTACAATATCCCTGTCAAACACTCCCAGGATGGGGACTGTATGGGGTTAGGTACAGAGTAAAGCTCCCTCTATACTTTTAGACTGAAAACAAAGCTCCCATGATACTGTCCCCATCAATTATCCCCAGATCATGTGCATGGGGTTAGATACAGAGTACACCACCCCAATCAAATGCTCCAAGGACAAGTCATAACAAGGTTAGATACAGAGTAAAGCTGCCTCTACTCCTTTAACCTGAAAGTAAAACAGTCTTTACTCTTTTCAACTGAAAGTAAAGCTCCCTCGCCACTGTCCCCATCAAACATTCCCAGGGACAGGGACACTCTTATGTTAGATACAGAATAAAGCTGCCTCTACACTCTCCCCATCAAACACTCCCAGAGAGGTAAAGCAAGGGGTTAAATACAGAATAAAGCTCCCTCTAGTCTTTTAAACTGAAAGTAAAGCTACCCCTATCCCAATCAAACATTTCCATGACAGGGACAGCATGGGTTAGATACAGTGTAAAATGTTTAGAATTTGGCAAAGAAGGACCAAGAGATTGATCAAGAAAGAGAAAATACAGTACATGAGTAAGCTTGCAGGGAACATAAAGACTAACACTAAGAGTTTCTACAGGTATGTGAAGACAAATGTAAGTCCCCTACAGACAGAAACGGGCGAATGTATAACAGGGGACAAAGAAATGGCTGAGTAACTGAATACATACTTTGGTTCTGTCTTCACAAAAGAGGACACAAATCAAATATCAGAAATGTTTGATAATGCAAGATTTAGTGAGATGAAAGAACTGAGGGAGATCAATATTAATAGAGAAATGGTGCTGGGAAAATTGATGGGATTGAAAGTGGATAAATCCCCAGGGCCTGATAATCTACATCCCAGAGTAGTTAAGGAAATGGTTCTAGATATAGTGGATACATTGGTGGTCGTCTTCCAGGATTCTACAGATTCTGGAACAGTCCCTGCAGATTGGAGGATAGCTAATGTCACTCCAATATACAAAAAGGGAGGTGGAGAGAAAACAGGGAATAATGGACCAGTGAGCCTAACATCAGTAGCGGGGAAAATTCTCAAATCCACTGTCAAGGACTTTATAGCAGAGCATTTAGAAAGCAGTGACAGGATCAGACAGAGTCAGCATGGATTCATGAAGGGGATATCATGCTTGACAAATCTGTTGGAATTCTATGGAGATGTAACTAGTAGAGTTGACAAGGGCGAGCCAGTCGATATAGTATATTTGGACTTTCAGAAAGTGTTTGACAAAGTCCTGTATAAGAGAGTAATGTGCAAGATTAATGTAAATAAGATTGGGGCAAGTGTACTGAGATGGATAGGAAACTGGTTGGCAGGGAGGAAACAAAGAGCAGGAATTAATGGGTCCTTTTCAAATTGGTGGACAGTAACTAGTGGGGTACCACAGGGATCGGTGCTGGGACCCTAGCTATTCGCAATATATATTAATGATTTGGATGAGGGAACAAAAGGTAACATCTCAAAGTTTACAGGTGATACCAAGTTGGGTGGAGTGAGTCTATTCACTTTGGAAGCAAAAACAAGAAGGCAGATTGCTACCTGAATGGCTGTAAATTGGGAGAGGGGAGTGTGCAGTGGGACCTGGGTGTCCTTGTGCACCAGTTGTAGAAGGTAAGCATGCAGGTGCAGCAAGCGGTAAAAAAAGCAAATGGTATGTTGGCCTTCATTGCAAGAGGTTTTGTGTAAAGGAGAGGGATGTGTTGTTGCAGTTGTACAGGGCCTTGGTGAGACCACACCTAGAATATTGTGTGCACTTTTTGTCTCCTTTTCTGAGGAAGGACGCTCTTGCTCTTGAGGAAGTGCAGCGAAGGTTTACCAGGCTGATTCCGGGGATGGTGGGTCTGATGTATGAGGAGAGATTGACTAGGTTAGGAT